ACCCGGGGAGGAAGCCACGCAGCCGCTGCCTGGAAATGACAGCGACGGCCCAGTGAAGACGGGGACCCGGCGCGAGAGGAAGCGGCTGGCGGGCATTTCCCAGCGAAGGCGAGCCGAGCAGCAGCGACGGCAACAAGCCCTCTCCTGTCGCCCACGAAAGGGAATGGCGACTCGGTGACACTGCGGTCAACACGCCCCCGAGACGGAGCGGAGACTCTGGGGCCTGTGACAGGCCGCGCAGACGGGAGATGGACGTTAGAGTTTACGGAGAAGACGGACGGACGGACAGACGGGGAGCATTTGGTGACTCACTAACACGACGGAAACACAGTGCGCGCTGTCCACACCGTCAGGGAAATGAAAGGAGAAAACATAGTAAAACGAGAAGAGAGACGTGACGACGGGGAATTAGGGGAAGAACGCAGCTGAGAGTGATTACACATCCAGACGCTTCCCATCACAGCCCCGTGCTCAGCGGCTGGCCGTCCGCCCTCGGACTGAGGGTCCCGGGTTCGATCCCGGGGCGCCGGCGGGAAGCAACCAATCGATGTGTCTCTCACGTTCATGTTTCTCTCTCTCCCTCGCCCTTCCTCTCCCTTCCTCTCCCTTCCTCTCCCTTCCTCTCCCTTCCTCTCTGAAATCAATTTTTTTAAAAAGAAAAAAACACGGGACATCGGCCCCCGGGGAGGCTGGGGGGAGGCCGTGAGGGACGCGGGAGGCGCGCTGGGTTCCTAAGCCAGGCAAGGTGACTTAGGTGCTTATTACGTTATTGACATCGATTACCGAGCCCAGAAGTCCTCAGAAGTCAGTGAAAACGAGCTTTAGTAATCAGCTCCAGCCCCAGCCGGTGTGGCTCAATGGGTAGAGCCCCAGCCTGCAGACTGAAGGGTCATGGGTTCGATTCCCGTCAAGGGCTCGTACCTCGGTTGCAGGCTCCTCCCCGGCCCCTGGGTCGGGCGCTGGTTAAACGATGATGAGCATCGGCTGGTGCAACGGCAGAGCACCCGCCTGGCCTTTGGGATCGGAGCAGGAGGGAGGGCGGATCTATGGGCAGGACGTGAGGGGGCGTGAGGGGGCGGGAGGGGCCGTGAGGGGCC